CACACACACACACACACACACACACACACACACACACACACACACACACACACACACACACATGTTCTTTCGGTGTGTTTGTCAAAACAAAGCATTAAGTGGTTTTACACACAGGGTTTATTGTGAACGCACACAGTATATCGTGAGGTCTGGGCATGCTAGAGCCAGGCCAATCTGCTTATGCTGGGTGAAGAAATGAAAACTCCTTTCTCCGGGAGCTTGGCAGGCTGACAGACCAGCGAAGGGAGAGTGGCGTAGGATTATCCTCAAAGACTGTCATTACCCTTTTGCTGTGGATCCTAATTTGGAAGTGTGGTAGTAGTCTTACCCCGTAATACAACTGCAGTGGTGACTTTGAGTTTTGCCAGTGAGGCCAACTTGAATTTCACCCGTATTTTGATGACTGTTTGACCCACTGTATTATTCAGAGTTGAGTGCAGTCTAGTATTGACTCTGGAGAGTTTGCCAAGTGCTCCTTGAGATTCTTGCCACACTGCGGTAAATTGGGTATGATGAATCATAATGAGGCATTTTATTATTGGCATCAAATATCTGCTCTAATATCTATATAACTTTCATATTTATATACATTCGGTGCAGCAGTACTGTTAAAATACCAACTATTAGCAAAGTTAGTAATTATGGGACTGTTATTGAAACCCCCATCCATGTGCTTAGCACAGACAAAAGATAATCTACCTCTTATTTAATCTAGGCAGCAAAGTCCTTTAAATGTATCTGTGGCTCAACTGACTTGCCTAACCACAGTGAATTGTGTGGTTTCATCACTGAGTTGAGCAGAGCTATTTGTCTAAATAAGCACTGAGATCTTTGCCACAAATTAAGGCAGACCGTTTGCTCATTTTCTCTTCCCCAACTTATCCACTGTGGTTTTATTGATTTGAGGGCACTCATTATAGGCCAGACAGGTTGTCTATAATGATAATGAATGCTTTGGAGGAAGGAACGACTAATGAATGTGTCTGAGATCATCTCATCAGCTCTTAGTGTGGATTTCTCCAAGGTTGGATTCATTAGCGAAGGGAACTTGGGACGCCGTGGAAGACGAACTACACGTGTTCGGCTTTAACCTTTCCTTTGTTCTTTTCCTGTCACGTTACTTTTAAGGCTGCTCGTTTCAAAGCGCACCCCGTATGGACGATGAGGAGGACGATGTGTTTGAGCCAAAAGCCAACTGTTGGCGCACCACATTCAGGGAGATAAAGTGTGAACATCGAGGCACACAGACACCCGGTCCTGCCCTGGTACCAAACAACGGCATGCTGCCCTGTGGAGTCGCAGAGGAGCCCAGACCACTCTTCTACGGTGAGGCTGACAACATACCATATTTCAAAAGAGGGGAGGAAAAGGGAACGCTGCCTTGTGCGTGATAACCGGTGTTATAAAACCGACGCACGAGAGCACAATGCAAGACTCACCGTGAGGGATGGTTAACAGCGTTACTGCGCTGATCTCACCTCTGGCGCCTCATAGTCGTCATCACATTCACTTTTATGGTCTGTATGCAGTGTACCCAGCTGCTTTGCTATTCAAAAGGCGCCAGACTGGCATTGTGACTGAAAGGATGTGACAGAAGTGCTCACCTGTGCAGCAACTCTTCAGAGAGCTGATTATCAGTGACAGCAATAACTCTGGTGCCATAAACAAGTAACCATTCCAGAGGAGCTCTATAACTACTAGTCATGTGGGTTTATTTTGTGAAACTATTAAAGGTCATTAAAAAAGACAAAGGAATAATCACAGCTGGGTAAACTGTGGATATATAGCTGAGCAACCTGTTTGCTGAAAGGCGCGTTCGGCAGTACTTCAGGAGACTGATGGATCTCCTTACCTGTGTGTAAAAGACTGGCACGCTCGGCGTCATTGCTGTATTGAGATTATTTTGCTGAGCACGTGTTGTTTACAAAATAATAAGCATGAGTCCTGACACTCGACAGGTAACGCAGGTTTTCGATTGCACTTCCCGGCACGCTTCGAGCTCGTCGGGGATCACAGAGCGAGTCGACAAGGAAGCACGGAGCAGCAAAACAGCATGGAGCGCCTGCCCCGCCAGCGACCCGCGGCTCGCAGCGTGGAGGCCTGCATTGGACAGAAACTCCAGCTCATAGGAGACCAGTTTCACTGGGAACGCCTGCAACTGGTGAGGAGGATGGATGCGTTCGGCTGATTGTGCAATACTGGGAGACAAGCGGTGGTGCCGAATGGTAGTGAAACAAGCATGCTTTTAGTGCCTCACATTAAGTGTGGAGGGCAACCCGATTCTTTTGACAGTTTTCAAATTTGACTAAATTGCAGATTGCTCCCTGTGCCTGATTACAGGCAAATACACCTATATTGTTTTTTTGTTGTTGTTGTTTTTGTCAGATAGTCTCTATGTGTCCTATCTGAGCCTGTGAGATGAGAGCAGTAAAGCCAGGAAGATACGCCAACGTTCTGTCAACAATATAAGAAACAAAAGACTCCATAAAGCGTAAAGTTAAATTTGCTGCCATCAAACTAGAGAGGAAACTTGTGTCTGTGTGCGAATAAGCACCACAGGTTAAGTGTTTATAAAGTCGGAGCAGGGGAAAGTTAAGTCCACACATTAGCCACATCATCCACAAACCTTTTTTTTTGCTCTTTTTAAATCAATATTTGGATCTCATTTTGATCTGACAGAGATTAATTGTGGGTCAAAAGTTTCTTCTCTATTACGGTGCTCGCTTTATATTTGTTTTGGAGAGGCTGTACACATGCAGAACTTTACCCCAGTACCTAACCCCCACCCCCTCCGCCCCTCTTTTCCCTCAAGCCAAAGACATTTCAGAACGAGGACAGCCCTTCCCCCACTTCACCCCCCCCCCACACTCCCACCCCACCCCCTTCCCCTGCCTCCTCTTCCTGTTTATTTCTCTCTCTTTTCCCCTGTTTCCTTAATGTGCTCTGAAGGCTGTTGGTGTGGAGGATGCCTGCACTGAAACAACACACGGTGGCCACAGCGACAGTGTCCACTGTATCGGCATATCACTGCTGTTTGGGTGTGCTGTAAAACCTGTGACATGCTTTTATTTCTTTGTCTTTAAATATGCACAAAATATGCACAGCCCCCCCCCCCCCCCCTCCAGGGAGATTTCCTGCAAAGTGCAAGTACTTTTGTTGCACAGGTGGTTAACAGTCTTTACACACATATTTATTTCACACATTTATACACGCACACATGCACGCATGCTGATACATCCAGGAAAAAAAGCAGAAGTGGTAGAAGTAGGTAAACATGTTGTAACCCGAAGCTCCCCACGTGAGCCCAGAGGGGAACAGCTGTGGTTCCAGGGAGTCTCAAGGCAGCCCCTTCCCTTTGCGAGGCGCAGCCACAGGAGACACACACGCGCACACACACCCAAAAAATAAGTTTTCTCAGTCATAGGCAGACTGCAGAGGTGAGATCCATAATAATGATGGTTTAAGGATGTATACGGGGGGGATGGAGAATGGAAATTGAACTTCACATGATCAAATAACAACTGTCCTAAGCTGTCTTAAAAACTCCCTGTGGGGAAATGGGATGACCCGTGCACATAAAAATATGTATACATGTATATATATATAATCTTTTTTTCTTTTTAAATTTAGACTCTAACCTATGAGACAGCTTCTGATTTTTCTCATGCACTTTATCAAGCAGATGTTATTTATACCGCCGCAGCATGACTCATGTATTGTGACACGGGCAGACACACACACAGACGGTCAGACAGGAGGGTTGCTATGTGTACGACCAGGATCTACTGACGCACATCGGAGGCAGGCCTGGGTCAAGAGATGAGGAAGTGGTTTGTGCTCACTTTGCTGGTTGAGTAAACAGCAGAGAGGACAGTCAGAGTGAAAACCATCCTGTAAAGTCATATCCTGAAGACACATATGCCTAGATAGTGAATATTTGATAAAGGCAAAAAAAAAAGTTTTTCTTTTCTTTTGTTCTCCGAGCATGGCTGTGCTTCTGCTACTGTGCTAAGTGTCTTCGTGGTTTGCTGTTATTGAGGGATGTTTTTACAACTCAAACACTTAAGTGTGGTTTTGGATGCGTGATTCCACTGAAGCCTCTGTAATTACTATTTCTGGTTCTGGTTGTGCAAGTTATTGTATTGTGCGTGCATGTGTACATGCTCATGCATGAATACACCCATACTTGTTTTTCTGCTTTCTGCTCTTTTGCCGTCTCTCACTTCTCAGTATCGCACGGTCTGGCAGTTAGCACAAAAAAAAAAAAAAAAACTCGCTGGATAATGGCGGTACTGTTTGCCAGGTCTCGTTCCTGTTGCTCCTGTCAGTAGGCGAGTTATTCAGCGCAGACACTTGTCCCAGAGCAATCTAAATGCCTTGGACTGCCATCGTTTTTGATGGATTTTGGTGCAACGTGGCTGCCGGTGCTCTCTCCATGGGAGCCCGTGGCCCCTGGCGAAAGGAGGGATTAGGTGGCGGAGGGAGTGCTGGCGGATGCTGACAGATAAATTGCTCCTCAGTCAGAAAGTGCTGGAGGGGACTCTAAGGTCCCCAGAGGGATGGCTGACATTAGCCGGGCCTGCCATTTGAGACACAGCAATAATGGCATTCACAATGGCAGGAAGACTGCTTCAGCCTGCGCAGGGCAAGGAGCAGAGTTGGGTTTCATCCCCATGTTTTTTTAAGGGAGACGACTCCTGGTGCTTTCGATAGGAGGTGTTGAAAGCACGGTTGAATATCTCCTCCGTGTGCGCGCCTGCACGCTTACACGCAGCGGTTGTCGCTTTATCTCGTCACTGTTCCAGTGAGGGCACGGCACTCTCTCCTTTCAGCACTTGTGGAAGGGGAGGGAGGAAAGTGGTGCTGGGAGCAATGACAAATGGTATTTACTTTTCTTTCATTGTTCTCTGATTATTTGTGTTGACGGGAACGTCTGTTTGTGCTGTTGCCTATTAACTCAAGCAACCGCTATGTTCGCATGATACTCGGCCCTTCTCCGCTCGCCGATATGAACAACGCGGGGATTCTCGCTGCAGAGGCTGGCCTGTTTGCTCAAGCGATAAGGCAGAGCTTGCGAGCAGCTGGCTTGACAGACAGCTTGCACTGATAAAGCACATCAGGCTGGTGTCAGCGTGACGACATAGGGAATCTGGCTCCACTCTGCTTCTCTATCGCTGGCTAAATTTAGAGCCTCATTTTGACAGTTGGTGTCGTGACTCATGACTAACTTGCAGCAGGCCTGCACACCTCCTTTTGTCACTCTTGCTGTTTTTTATTCTCTCACTTTCTTTGTGTCTAGCTTGATAGAATGGAGGGTGAAAGGTCACAGGGGGCATTCTGGTTTGGACTGTAAAGACGAATTCGCTTCTCATGGAACTTGACTCATTTTGAGATTTACGCTCTGACAGAAAAATCCTCTGTCGTTAAATATTGACATACAGTATTGATATAATTGCATACATGCATCCCCCCCCCCCCCTGCCCCCCTTCCTTTCATGGCAGAGCCGGCCTTGTGTAACTTAATAAACTACAAGACTTCAAGCATGGCGGCTTCCAGCGATGCAACATTTTGTGCTTTCTAATAAATACCCCCTTTGTTTATTCGAAGTAGACATTACACTATTATTATATACTTATCAAAATATCTCCAGGGCAAAATTTAGACATGTCATAATGAAACAAACAGCTTCCTGGTTGTGTTTACCGTAGCGTTTTTACCTCTTTTTTCAGGTGAAAGCAAGTAGAATACAAACATGCTGGCTGGAAACTGCTGAAGCTTATGCAACACCCTGCAAAGTTCACCACAGTGTGATAACGGTATGGAAACCCAGAGGCTTATCGCAGTGGCAGTTCTTGACTGTTAACTAGGTCAAGGTTTGGACACTAGTCGTGCAAATATGGCGTATCTAATCGCTGCCTTAGGATATTTTGGCTTTTCTAAACAGTAATACAATGTTATCAAGACAACGTAGTACACTTTCATGCATTGTTTTGAAAAAGTAATCTTAACCCCGCCCCCCAGTTGTTTTCAGTTTACGGCCCTCTTGGTCTGAAAATAGCCTCAGAACTATCAGGTGTAGCGGAGTCTGCCTTCCGTCCGGGACATGAGATCTTCAACTACTGTAGCCCTCTCGTGCAGACACGTGTGTTTTTCCACAGACTCCCTGCCTCTCATCAAGAGCCCTCTAATCCCATTTGGTGCAATTATCTTATCTCAGCTTCTCAATGGCAGAGATAGCATTATCCTCCTAATCGCACACAATCCAATTGGCTCGCAAACCTGAGAGAGTCTCCTCCTGAGCTGCTGGCTGCTAGTCTGTGCCAGGAAGATTAGAATAAAAAAAAGTGTGACCGTGCGATAAATGTGTTTATGGCTAGGAATGTCTGTAGGGAAAGCCCGGCTCGCGTAAAGGATCCTGCACACAAAGGGAATCCTCTCTGCTAAGCATCGCTGGGAAGCGGAGCGGAGTGCCCTGAAAATATCGGCGTCTCGTTACGTTTTATGCTCGCTGTGAATCGGCGTCGGTCGCCGACAACATAAACACGACGCGAACCCCAAATAATGGCTGCGTCTGGTGCTGTGTTTTGAGTTTCTAACTGTTGTGCGTTTTGTCTTGTTTTTGTTTCAGTATCACCGAAACCAAAGGAACCAGGGGCCGATGTGGTGGCGCCTGGCCGCGGCCATTCTCAGCCTTCTGTTTGATAGGGGGTTCATAGCCGGAGGAGGGGGTGGAGGACGGAGGTGAGGCGACCTTGTCCCCCGTTTTTCATTCATCTCTGTGAGGAACTGGACTCCTACTGGCACTGTCTAATCTAACACGGGTCTGTTTGGGGAGAAAACAATTGAGGTCACCGCGGGACGGAGACAACCAACTTTTATACCAGGTTGTGTTTTGGGGGTTTTTTGTTGTTTTTTTTCCTTCAAAGAAGATGCCATGTTGCTCTGAGATTCCACTAATGGGCAATGTTCTTTCTTTTTTTTGGCATACCTGTGGTGTAGTGGTTTTGTACAGTACATTGTTCTTGTTCACTTTAATGACCTCTCACAGAACCTGGGAATGCCTTATTCAGTGTCTTCTGCCAGAATGAGTATTGAGCAGTTTTGACAGGTAAGAGAAGAAGATGGTTAGGAAGTGAAAGGAAACGCAGAGGAAGTTTCCCAGGTGACCAGTCAAGTCGATTTTTACTAACTTCCAAAGAGGCGACTTCTCAGAACAAAAGCATTTTGCACCTCACCTCAGTGAAACATTTATGTTTTCTTCATTTTTTTTTACTTTCAGTTTGTCTTTTGTCCCTCCTTGGTTTTCTTTGAACACGACCTCTTGGTATTGTTCAGAAATACTGGGAACAGTAGTTTCCGCGCGTGTGAAAGTGAGCGCACGGTGATATGTCATCTTAATATGCAAAGAGAGTCACGCGATACATGGCAGATGTTTGGGTCTGCTGACTCTCTGGGTGGAGTCTGCGCTTCTTAACGTCACCGTCTGGTCAAACAAGCCAGGTGACTGCATGCAAACTTGCCAGACATCAAAAAGAAAGTGAAAAAGGAAAACAAGGCATGTGCACTTGGACATCTTGTGTTGTTATTGTTAAAATCCTTTCACTTAACCTGGGTTTTTACTGGGTTTACTTGTCATTTGAGCCTTTTTCCTGCAACATATCGGGGGGCAAATCTGACATGTAGCGCACGTCAACGTGCCGACTCTTGCACGCATGTAAACAACTATTAGAGGTCTTGCACTATATTAGAACACAAGTCAATCACGTTGTTGCAGATATCGTAACACCTAAACCAGCTGTTTTATTCATTTCACTTGACCCTTGTTCCCAGTATATTACTCTGATATTCCCTTTTGGGGGGTTTTTCCAATGTTTTTTTTTTCATTTGATTGTTTTCAGACCTCCATGCCCTTGAAGTGGAGCTGTGGATCCACTGTTTTTGCACTATACCACCCTTCAAAAGATCCGAATGTTGACAAGCTAACCTCTGTCTTGTATGAAGGTTGATTTTTTTGGTTTGTTTATTTGTTTTTTTCATTTACCACCTGTTTCCTTACCACCGCATTTATCCATTCGCATTGTCTTGAGACGTGCCTCAGTGTTGAGGCCTGACTGAACATAATCTGGATGACACTTCTCGAAAGATCGCTCACGCAGTTTTTCAGACCACACTGAAGAGTTGGAGAGAGACACGTTGGCTCGGTTAAAAAGGTTTTGATTTTTTGTTTTGTTTTTTTCACGGCCCCGCTGTATCTTCAGAACATCGAAACAATATGCCGAACCCAGTGCGCAAAACGAAATCTCTCAGGCCACCTTTTATGGGGTATAAATATTGTCGTTGGTGCTGAGATCCAGATTTGGGATGTTTGAGCACATATAATCACCACTGACTCAGCAGACGGGCAGTCTCTGAAATGGACAAAAAATAGAAACGAAAAAGTGAAAAAGACTGTAATTATTGTTGAAATATGAATATGTTTAAAGACACTGTCAAAGATGCTGTTTGTTGTTTTGTTTTACTCCTCTTTCATTGCTGAACCCAGGCCAACTTTTGGACCCAAGGAGCAGTACATATCAGGGGTCTGTAATTACATGCTCCTTACAATGTGTCAAGTTTATCACTGCATGACGATTAGGTTCTTTCTCTTTTTTGTTGTTGGGCTTTTTTTTGTTTTTTTCTCAAGATGTCTCAGGGACAGACTTTTGTGGGCTACTGGTAACCTTGAGAATCTGTTACATGGTTAGAAGAAGAGCTGTTCTCGCCGATTAATACGTGACGAAACCCCCTCGAGGTGTTGTCGCTTCTCCCATCTCCATTTTAACCTAGATCTCGGCCAACTTTCTCAGCACACGCTTCTTAAAGGTACCGTTCGACTGAGGAGTTTGAGGCTGACTTGCTGGCTGTGGTGGGGACGGAGCTACTGAGCGTAGTAGTCATAGGTGGTGCGAGGTGCACTGAATGTGGTTGTGGTTGTAGTTTCCTGCGGATCGTGAACGCTGAGCCAGTCCGTGTAGCTCCCCGTCTCACCATCAGCTCTTGACTTCCTCTTTGTGCTGCTCCTTCATTACATGGTTGTTGTTCATCGGTTCACTTTCTTTGTAATTTATTTTTCTTTCTTCTTCTTTTATTTATTTCAGTGTATTTGCCCATTTCTACTGTATACACCTGTGTGTGCAATTACTTCATTGTTTTCCTTTTTTCCATTTTGGTCTCCGGACTTGTATACGCTTCGGCTGTTTGGCTCTGTGGAGAGCAGGTTGGCGATCGTTACGCCGTCTTCACCTTTAGAACAACTACTGTAAACGTGTAGTTACGATTACTTTTTAAGTGGCGGCAGGTGTCACTGCTAAGCCAATGATCTAGACCGAGCAAACATAAGCACAGCTGCTGCTCTTCACAAAGAAGAAAACTACAGACTGCAGATGAGTGTTTGATACGCAAAATTCCACCTTCCAAAAATGACGCCTTCCCACACGACCTCTCCCTCATAACAAGTAACGGCAGACATGACATTAGACACAAAAAGGTTGCCTTCTTCCTCAAGTCACAGGGCGTCAGTTTACTCGTATGTGTTCAATTCTTTAATCTTAATCATTGTGTTGTAATCAGTATGCACTGGAAAGTACTTTGTATATGTAAATCCCTTAGGTTTCTTATCTGTTGAGTGTTGATGTATAGTATTTACTCTGATTTGTTCTCCTCAGTTGATCTCGCCACGTGTCAGGCGTGTTCAGTGCAGCGAGCAAGTAGGCTCGGGTGCGATGGCCCGGTTTGATTTATTGGAAAGGGAAACAAGCCACCGTGGTGCCCTGTATAGTTTTGTTAGAATGAGGTTCCCGAGCCTCAAACGGCATACGTGAGCGCAGAAAATCCCAAGAGAGACAGTGAGAAAGAGACATGCGTATTTTATTGAAACCGTCAGTGTCTTGAATTTTGTAGTCCACTTTATATAAATTTGAAGTTTTTTTTTCCTTTGAGGAAAGTTTTGAATTTTTATAAGTAATAACATTTCTTCTTCGTGGTTTTTCTTAACGTTCTTTTTTTTAAATTGTATTTTCTTAAGAAAAGGGGTCTGCTTTTATAAGGACACTTCACGCTTGTAAAATGACTTTTAATACCAGTGTGATCCTTTTTGAAGTCAATGAGATCAAGAGCATTTTGGGTTTTTTGTTTGTTTTTTTTAAAGACAAATGAGCTTGCGACATTCCTTGCACATCTTACTGTCCTGTATACACAAAACCAAATGAATTCATGGTTGCGGTTGATTTTGCTCGTGAGCTCGTAACCATGAAACTGTCCTTTCTTTTTACAGAACTGATAAAGTGTAAATGTATTTCTAAAAAAGATTTAAAAAACAAGACAAAAAAGAAAGAAAGAAAAAACCCTGGAATATGCCTTTAACTGCTCAGTTTCAATGAAGTCTTGATTATCACACACTCTCTGTATACCAAGAAATGAGACCCAGCGAACATGTAGCATTTTTGTAACATTGATTGTGTGTTTTCGAGACTCTACTGTGCACTCATTTTTATGTTTATATACATTTTTTTCTTTTTTTGGTTGTTGATATAATAATGGAAGTAAAGACAATTTGTTATGTAGTGCAATATGCTGTACATGCGGAGCTTTGCTCTACAAATCCTTTTTTTTCTTCTGGATTTCTTGTTGCTTATTGGTACTTTTTTCAATAAAATTTTATTGAAGGTGTCTACTCGAGTCACGTTTATGTTTGCAGGTCAGCCGCAGCGTCGGAGGCATCCGCTTGTTTTAAAGGTGAATGTACGGTGGCCTGTGAGGTCAAACGTTCTGCAGCGTAAGAACAGAAAGTAAACAAAAAAAAAGTACAAAACACAAAGGAAATCGAGAAAACAAAAGTGTTTGGGGGAGACAATAAAGTGCAGCTGCAGAAGTGACAAGCTAACAGTAAACAGCTAATAGCAGGTACATTAGTTTTATACGAATCATGCGATTATAACATACATTGTTTTGCACGTTTTTCTTACTCCCTCCGTGTCTCTGCGCGATCCTTCGCACATTTTCCGCAGCTGTTCCGTCACATTATTGTCTCCTCAAAGACACTTGTTTTGTTCTATGCGTGATTGTCTTTTAACATTGTGTTTTATTCACACGTTGTGTTTTTGCAGCAGTTTTCTATTTATATTTTCTATATATTTCTGCTTTCTTTTGGGTGTCTGTAGCTCAGGATTTAGAGCAGGTTATCTGCTGATCGTGAGGTTGGTGGTTCAATCCCGGGCTCCCCCCACATATCTGTGGGCAAGATGCAAACCTCAAGCTGCTCTCCAGTGCATCCAGTGGTGGGTGACTGTTAGTTAGAAAGCACTTAAAAGCATAGAAAAAAGTGAATGTTGCATGTTGCCGTTTTCTTGCAGTGCATTTGACCTCTCAGGGCACGTACCAGTGATGTGTCGGTCGGGAACGAAATGGCTCTTAGGGCCGGCTCTTTGACGTGAACGACGCGAGCCGGATCCTTATTGCGAGCAGGGGGGGGGGGCTATATTTCTTTCTCTCACCCTCTCACTTTTTTACCGCGTCACTCAGCACGCGAGCCTTGTGCTTGTGCTGGGCAGAGGGGGGAGGGGCGGTAGTTACACTCAGTAACACAGGAACAGAGCGGGAGGGAGAGAGAGAGAGAGAGCCAGGGACAACAACGTCACATTAGAAAGGTATAGTAATAAAAATAAAAATAAAATAAAAAAAAGAAAGGTATAGTAATCATCCACAACTATTTTCAGTTGCAGATGATAAAGGACTCAGAAAGTTTATTCATGCAGGTCCATATGACAGAGAATGTGCATCTTCTTTTTGTTTTCATATTTTCATTTATATTTAATTGTGTTGTGGTTTGCAGTGTTTTGTGTTGTTTCATTTTTAATTTGTTTAAAAGGAAAAAGCTGAAAATTTGAATAGTTATAAGTTGAACTGGGAATAGTTGGTTTTTGTATTATATGATTTGTTTATTACATTTTATGTGGAGTGAATAAATAAAAGTATATTTACGGTGGCCCCTACAGACAAAGCACGTACAAACTCCAAAACACATAAAAAGACAGCAGAAGTGCTCCAGGATGCTGGGCGCAGTGTTGAGCTTTTGTTACCTCGTGGCTACACAAGCCAGCAAGTACCAACGACCGGATTTGGTGTGTGGTAGTAACAGGTAAATGAACATTTTTTTAAATTATTTGAATATATATGAGTGCTTGTGTATAAATACACACATGCTTTCAATTGTGTACTTTAAGTGATCTAGGTAGCTGTGTTTTGTAGTTTGTACGTGCTTTGTCTCTAGGGGCCACCGTAAATATTTATATATAAACATATATAAATAAAACCACTTTTTTTTACATTAGTAATTCCTTTTGTGCGTAATTTTATATTATTGTTAATAATAAACTAATTAAAGCAACAAAACAACCTGAAGAGCCGGTTCGGAGCCGAAAGAGCCGGCTCTCTAAAAAGAGCCGGAAATCCCATCACTAGCACGTACAATTGCCCATAGCATGTAAAAACTGTGGGAACATGGTAAGAGAAATCTTATCTCTGAAGGTGAAAGTAAAAGGCTTAGTAAGACTTAACAGAAACTACATTCTTGCGAAATAAGCTGACATTGATTTAAAAAAAAAAAAAGAGTCTCTCACATATAAATCTGTTGTTAATATTTTCTCTTCACAGCAGCCAGAATCTGACCTGTGACACACAAAAAAATGGAGAACTGCTATTTTAACCCACTCCCACTCTTTTCTTAAGCTTGAGCTTTAAGTAGTTCTGCGTTGTGAAATAGAAACCACTGATAGATTGGTGAAGTGTCTCAGGCCAGCCAGTATTTTAATCCGCCCAGGCGTTTGGCAGCCTGTGCCCATCATATCCCTCCTGCTGTTAGGTCATTAATTTGGTGGGAGCAGTGGGTCTTCCAAAACACTCTTAATAGAGGCTGTCTGATTCACACACATGCACATATGCAGAAAAGCAAGCACTGCATGACAACTGAAGACAGAAAATGAAAAAGAGTTACAGTCATATCCTAAAAGGTTAAAGCCAATCCTGCAGCTCCTGCAGATTTATTACACCGCAGCATGGATGCCCCGAAGTCATGGAAGAGACTGATTACTCCTGACACATGTAAATATCAAAGTTAATTGTGCATTCCTAGTCTGTGTGCACAGTGTTTAGAAACGGAGCATTCATTTATATTAAAGATCTATATTTTGTCCAAGATAAAGGTTTAAGTACGTGTGAAGTGAGTCACACCGAAACAAAAGGTGCAAGTTTTTTTTCTCCAGCTCTTTCTTTCAGGAGAGCAGACGGCGCACAGTCTGCTCCTCCAGGGCTTCACACGTGGCACTTCTATTGTCAGGCATGCCAGGTACAGTTTCACAGTTTCCCGACACCTGACTCACCTGTTTAGCTGCTTGTAGCACAGCAACTCCCTTGTCTGTGGCCCCCCTGACGCAAAAAAACATGCATGCAATGAGTGTGTCAGAGGATGTGGTTTAAAACAGAACAACAGCGCCTATTCCAGTCACAGTTGGTTGAGCATACACAACTGTTCAGCACTCCCCTCTTAATCCTGTGTCTTATGTGCTTTAAGTGGAGGAACTCCATGCCTAAATAAGAATTAATTAACAGTGCAATGTACATGCAGCTGCCAAAGAATAACAGTCATATGACTGCAGGCCTTAATGCCATCTCTGCAGAGGAGGTTGCAGAGGTTGGTTGCTTTTTTTTTCATGGATATTTTAGTAAATTGGAAGCAGTTTTCCAAGTATATCCCCAGTCTCTCTCTCTCTAGCTGTTTACCTCAGCTCCTCTAGGATCAACACTTAAATGGGGAGAGCATTGGCTTTCCCTGGCCCAAACAATGGCTCCTCTGTTCCTCTAGCTGGACCGCCGGCTGAAAGAGACGCCCATTAGTGAAGCGTCTATCTCTAGGGTCAGGCCCAGTGGTCACACACAAGTACGGCTCTTGTTTATGTCTACAAAGCCAATCAAAACACTCCAGCCTCCGCTGTTAACTCCTGCTTGCCCGGCTCTCTGACTCGACAGACCTAAGAGTAATTTTTTATTTGAGCTAAAGCCACAGCGTGCAG